ATGGCAGCTAGTCAGCCTTGAGAGTAGATTTAAACCAAATAACCTTACTTGTTTACTTCAAATGTTCTTCAAAATGAAATCAGTAGTACAAAATTGAATAACCAATTAGCTAGTAAACCAATCAGTTAGTAAGCCAATCAGTTAGTAAACCAATCAGTTAGTAAACCAATCAGTTAGTAAGCCAATCAGTAAATCAATTAGCATAAGTTAAAGAGAAATTTCGAAAGATCCGATTCGAAAGAGGCGGTGACGAAGACAGTCAAATGTTTGTCTTCAACCCCAAAGGTCCACGCCCGGAGGGGATAAATTGATGAGAAATCGAATCTTTCCAAGAAAGGGGGTTCTTTTCGTTTGTTCATCTAATTCTCCATCATTTCTTCGACTTCTTTTCATTTCTCATTTCTCAATCATTCCATTCACAAACAGTTCTCTCAAAGTCTCAAATCGCTTCCGATTCTCCCGCGATCCTCTCTTTCTTTCGAATCAATTCACACTTTTTGCTTGAAATAAAGCTTGCTTAAAAGGATATTTTTCATTTTGGACATTTTTCTTTATCCTTTATCATTGATAATTGATCTAATTGATCAATTAATAAAAATCTCAAGCTTTTTTATAACATAGCTTTCTAGTAATAGTCAGGGTTAGTAAAAGAGCTAAATTTCTAGGTCAAGCAACCGAAGCCAAGTTTTTAGGCCAAATCTAACAGCAAGATTGACCAAAATATTGGCCTAAAAGCCAGGAAGGCAATGGTTTGGCTGAATTGGCTGAGTTGGCTGAGTTTTGGCTTTTTTTTTGACAAGCCTGATACTAGTTTACCAGTTTTTGCTGAAATGAAAATTGAGAGGCTCGTTTAAAATCAAAAATCAACTCCATGCATCTGATTTTGGCCTTCAGCCTTCATTTTGCCCTAACTTGAAACATTTCTTTTCAAGAAAAAATGGAATCTCACTATTTTTCTAATTTTTCTGCCAATCTAAAGTCATTTTTGTTGACTTTTAGTGAAATTTGAGGAATTGAGAAATGAATGTTTCAATTTAAAGTATAATCAACCGGTTGAGCTCCTGATAGTTGGCCGTTCCACAATTTTTAAAGCAATCTCTTATATTCAAAGTTGATAAATCGAGCTGATTGTCTCATTGCCTCATTTAGAATTTAACTTTAACTGTTAACTACTTTAACTTAACTGATAATTTAACTAATAACAATTAAAATTTCGGCACTTTTCTCTCAGCTAATCCATTTTATTGATTGAAATGATTGAAATGAAACAAAAATTCATTGAAAAAGACGCTTATTTTCGAAAAATTCCGTAATCTGCTCTCGAGCTTTCATTTGATTAGCCAAATTTTTGTATTATTTGATGAAGAAATCACAAGGCTTTCAGTCAATAGCAAACCTATCGAGAATTCTCTTTTTTTTCCCTTGAGTTGAGACATTTGAAAATTGAAACAAGAGCTTTTATTGAACAAGAGCTTTTAGAGCTCAACAAGAGCTTTTGTTTGAAAATTGGCCTCGATCCGCACCTCTTTTTTAATCTTTTTGATTAATATCAGTGAACCACAACCTTTTATTACAAGGAAAAGTCGCTTTTTTCCCCTTGAGTTGAAACATTTAGAGCTTTTATTGAACAAGAGCTTTCAGAGCTCAACAAGAGCTTTCAGAGCTCAACAAGAGCTTTCAGAGCTCAACAAGAGCTTTCAGAGCTCAACAAGAGCTTTCAGAGCTCAACAAGAGCTTTCAGAGCTCAACAAGGCTTTCAGGCTCAACAAGAGCTTTCAGGCTCAACAAGGCTTTCAGGCTCAACAAGGCTTTCAGGCTCAACAAGAGCTTTCAGAGCTCAACAAGAGCTTTCAGAGCTCAACAAGGCTTTCAGGGCTCAACAAGGCTTTCAGAGCTCAACAAGGCTTTCAGGCTCAACAAGAGCTTTCAGGCTCAACAAGGCTTTCAGGGCTCAACAAGGCTTTCAGGCTCAACAAGAGCTTTAGGCTCAACAAGAGCTTTCAGGGCTCAACAAGAGCTTTCAGAGCTCAACAAGGCTTTCAGGCTCAACAAGAGCTTTCAGGCTCAACAAGAGCTTTCAGGCTCAACAAGAGCTTTCAGAGCTCAACAAGAGCTTTCAGAGCTCAACAAGAGCTTTCAGAGCTCAACAAGAGCTTTCAGAGCTCAACAAGAGCTTTCAGAGCTCAACAAGAGCTTTCAGAGCTCAACAAGAGCTTTCAGAGCTCAACAAGAGCTTTCAGAGCTCAACAAGAGCTTTCAGAGCTCAACAAGAGCTTTCAGGCTCAACAAGGCTTTCAGAGCTCAACAAGGCTTTCAGGCTCAACAAGGCTTTCAGGCTCAACAAGGCTTTCAGAGCTCAACAAGGCTTTCAGGCTCAACAAGAGCTTTCAGAGCTCAACAAGGCTTTCAGGCTCAACAAGAGCTTTCAGGCTCAACAAGGCTTTCAGGCTCAACAAGAGCTTTCAGAGCTCAACAAGAGCTTTCAGAGCTCAACAAGAGCTTTCAGAGCTCAACAAGAGCTTTCAGAGCTCAACAAGAGCTTTCAGAGCTCAACAAGAGCTTTCAGAGCTCAACAAGAGCCTTTGTTTGAAAATTGCCTCGATCCACACCTCTACTTTAACATTCTTAATCTGTTCAAATTAAGAATAATTCAGGGTATTGTTTTCAAAATCGAATATAATCGAATATAACTTCAAAACTAAACTCACAATGTAAACGATAAGATTATGGTGATCATCGTGAGCCACGGAGTTGAGAAGAGATGATAATAATAGTAGTGTTTCCCTTTGGCACGTTGCTTTTGAAGGAGCTGAAAGCTAGAGTCCTCTGAACAAATCCGTTTTCTAAAAGGCACCCCCATTTCAGATATTTCAGACAAACTACCGTAATCTAGCCGCCAGTTTTCATTTGATTTGATCAACTTTTGTATTATTGACTGAGCCTTTTGATTCCCTCATCGAATGATACCAAAATTGAGCTAATCAAATGAAAACTGGCGGTTGGATTAGAGTAGTTTGTCTAAAATGGGTGTTTTTTCGAAAACAGATTGGTTGAGATGATTTAATGAAGCTGCTTTTCTTAAAAAGCTTCTTTTCTTACCTCGTGCTCATAAATGAGCACTTTTTCAAGCTCATCGAAGCCGGATTCCAGATTCCATCTAAATAATTTGAGTTTCAAATTAAATAAGCTTCTTTGAAGCATCTTCTTTATTAATTCAACCGCCTTGAATACTTTTTGCATTCGAATACCTCATGCTCATAAATGAACACTTTTCTTGAATACTTTTTGCATGACAATTCGAGCCACGGCGATTTTCCCCTTTTGAATCAACCATCGAGGGGATTGAATGATACCAAAATTGAGCTAATCAAATGAAAATCAAATGAAGACGAATAGATTACAGTACTTTGTCTAAAATGGATGTATTTATTAACCGAGAGGAACACGATCTCATTTTCTTTAAAGTTTAGTCCAATTAAATCGACTTTCCAATCCAACCCGGGTTTTTCTTGCCTTTATAGAAAGCGAATTAAAAAGACAAACGCAAGGATAGTACGAATATTACTTGATTTCTTCATTTTTCTTCCATTTCCCTTCTTTCCCCTCTTCACGATGATCGACCGCATTCATAAATTGTGCCTCCTCCTTCGAATCCTTGTCTTTCTTTCCCTTTTTCACCTTTTCGTCGTTGATTGCCCTCATGGCGCCTTTTCAGTGAAAAATGGCCCGCAAAAGTCGCACTTTTGTTACACCTTTACACACACCATTTTTTTTAGGTTTTTCGTCAAAAAATAGTAGTTTTTATCTTTTTTGATAATGAAATCTTTGCAGTGTTTATCATTTTTTCAAAATTTGACTAAAAAATCGCTAATAAATCGATCAATTGAATTAATAACGTTAAAATATTCAGCTATACCATTGTTACCGTATTCTCTCTAATAGTAGTGCACCCTGAGCGTTGACTAAATTCCTTGAAATCTCGAGAGCCTCTTATCAGAACCTATCGATGTGGGGTCGGAAAAAGTAGCTGACGATGAGATCTAGGGGGCGGATTAAAGAGTTGAGCTTCTGCAAAAGCTTGGAAACCGTAAAATAGTCATCAACTCGGCTCGCCCGCGGTGCAATACGATTAGAGAGAATGCGGTATACGATTTAGGAATGCTTATCGGTGTTAATTATCTATTACCTTCCCTTAGCGAGCGTTCCGGGTTGGGGTTTGTTCGCGGATCAGGGCCTGCGTAGCTTTCATATATCGTATTCTCTCTAATAATAGTGCACCCTGAGCGTTGCCTAAATTCCTTGAAATCTCGAGAGCCTCTTATCAGAACCTATCGATGTGGAGTCGGAAAATGTAGCTGATGATGAGATCTTGACGATGATTAGAGTGTTGAGCTTCTGCAAAAGCTTGGAAACCGTAAAATAGTCATCAACTCGGCTCGCCCGGGTGCACTACTATTAGAGAAAATACGGTATATCAAATTCACAATATTAATTGATATTATTTTGGTTGAATGCTTGATATTTTATGTTTTTTTTGGTGAAAGATCGCGTTTTATTGAGGTTATTAAAGTTGTTTTATTGTTTTTATCTACATAAGCACTTATTCTTTTACATTTAGATGAGCTTTTTTCATTTAAGTCTATTTTTGTTTTCTTTTTCAACAAAATAACTGGATATGACAATGGTATAGCTGAATATGGTAATATTAACTTCTTTTCATTTCTCATTTCTCAACCATTCTATTCATTCCATTCACAAACAGTCCTCTCAAGTCCACAATCACGTTATTAATTGAACTGATCGAGCTGATCGAGTTTCACTCATCAAAATCTCCAAAAACATTTTCAATTCAGTCACTTTTACTGAAATTTATTTCAAAATTTGTGCATATTGCTGTGCAGATTGTTAAATGGACGCTAAAGTTTGAAAAAGTTTTATTTGAAAAACAATTTGACTAACTTTGTTTGTTTTTCAGAAATACGATAAATCGCTTTTCAGTAATGCCCACGACACCGACTCGAATTCGAGAATACGCCAATCAAACGGACATTTTCAAGCTTCGACCGCCACGATCACGCGAAACCGAGATGAGTATCACACCGGAAAGGTTTGTAAAAGGCTTGTAAGCAAAAGTAAGCAAAAAAGTTTCTTGAAAAGATACTCAAATATCGATTGCTTGAATTTAGATGCTTGACATCGATTGCTTAACTCAAATATCGATTGCTTAACAGTCATTAACGGTTACCAATCAGTCCTTAACTTAACAGTCCTTAACGGTTACCAATCCCCTAACGCTACCTGTCCTTAACGGTTCTTAGAACTCACAAAACGTGGGTTCGATTCCAATCAAGGTCCGGTCGTTTTTTGCAAAAATTCAAGCTTTTACATTAAATCTGAAGATGCCAGTAATTAGTTTTTTAAAAGATTGCATTTTAACATAGATCTTCTGCCTCACTGGAATCGTTAAGGACCGTTAAGAGAACCATTAAGTGACCGTTTAGCAAGTCTACTTGAATTATGTCAAGTTTTAGCCCAGGATAGGAATTGTTGAACAAGTCGGTTCTTTTATTGGTTCGAATACAATACAAATACAAGACAAAATACAATACATGTACAAAACAAAGAAATCTGGTCAGAAACATGGTCGGCGTCGGGATTCGAACCCGCCAGCTCTCGCTTATCGGGCCAACGCTCTACCAATGTCCATTTACCGCCAGGAAATGGTCTTATGCCTTACTGAAGCACGAATTTTACTACAGGATGACCTTCTGCTTCACTGGAAGCGTTAAGGACCATTCAGAGAACCGTTAAGTAACTGTTAAGCAAGTCTACTTGAATCTGTTCAAAAAACGGCCCTTATTCGATGAAAAATGGATTTTTTCTATAAAAAACCACATGAAAAACACCAGAATACAACTAAAAACCATGAAAAGTAACTGATAAACTTGAAACAGAACATTTTTTCGTCACTTTCGCCACTTTCGCCATTTTCGACACTTCCAAATTATCAACAATATCAACAACAATATCAACGAATTATCCAAAACGTTCAAAAGCTCATTGACATCAAAAACTCGTAAATAGTCCTAATTTCTTCCCATCTTTAGATTTGTTCCTCAAGAATATTCGTCGAGTCCAATCGTCGAGCATTTAGCAAACTCAAGGGAAGAGGTAGAACAAAATTATTATTAAAATTAGTTTTTTTTTTACAGAGACCCTCTCCACCAATGTTTTCTTCTGGCAATAACAAGTAAAAGTTCTTTTAAACTTTAAATTCAATGTTTAAAATGAAATAACTCCAATCAGCTAATTACTGTTTCAGAAGCGACTCGGAAGCGCTCAAATTTGAAACAGAGCCCGCAAAACGGCCGACCCTCTTGGAGCAAATCGTGCGCTCGCATCCCATTTGGTAAGCGCCGATGATAGACTAGGATTTAGAACTTTAGAGTGACTAAAAATCATATTTTCCATTTCAAACAACTATTTAAGCATGACACTTCGTTTTCCAGGTTCTTGCAATCATTTGGCCGCAGTGCCGCCACGCACTTGCTCAAGCCAATGCGTCCGGGGGTTTGTTTTTCTAGAAAATACAAATATTCAACTGTTTTTATCTAGAAATAGCAGATTTTCTGTAGAATTGTACTCAAATTTTAAAAGCAACGTTTCAAAAAGCTTTACACAGCTTTACAATGTTTCAAAAAGCTTTACACAGCTTTACAATGTTACAAAAAGCTTTACACAGCTTTACAATGTTTCAAAAAGCTTTACACAACTTTACAATGTTTCAAAAAGCTTTACAAAATGGCATAATATTGAAATTACATAGTGTAATTCATGAAAATAATAAAAAAGCCCAAATTCTGTTTAATTTTTGTAATTTTTTTTACTTTTATAAATTCTAGAAACGTATAAGAACAATTTTAAAAGCCTATTAAGCAGCATGGTTGTACTTAGTACACAGTACAATGCATAGTACAAAACGTAGCTTAGCCTAAGCCTAAGCCCACGCCCAAGCCTAAGCTTAAGCCTAAGCCTAAGCCTAAGCCTACGCTTTTTACTCAGTTTTAAAATCAATGTTTCAAAAAGGTTGAGGTAAATAAATGCAGCAAAGCCGTAGTTTGACTTGCCACCGATCCTTTCAAAATATACTCCAGATTACAGTACATCTAGTACAGATTACAGTACATAGTCTAGTATTCATAGTGCTGTAGCTATCGTAGAGTATCGTATCGTAGCGTAGCTTCTAGACTACGGTAGCTTTAGAGATCTGATGACTTGTCTAATTAGCTTTAGATAGAGCTCAAGATACTCTAGCCACAGTATTCTAGATTCCAGCTAAAGGTAGAAATCTAATAGCTTAGTTTGATTTACCCAAAAATACGAAATATTTAGTTTAAAATCCTGTAAATTGATAAGCTTTTAATGATTTTGAATAGCATTTTTTAATTCTTCAATTATTTCATATATTTCAGACGTTTATTGTGCGCAGCTCGAGTCGAAACGGCTCGATGGCGTTGTCGATTCGTTTACCCGATGGGCACGAGATTGACGTGGATCACTATGTGATTGAGTTGGTTTTCTGTTGAAAAAAGTTCTGGTATCTTTTATAGAAGTTGAAATCTCTTTAAATTAAAGCAATCAAAGCAATCAAAGCAAACAAAACGATAGTTTTTTTCAGGCTGTGTCCCCGGGAGAAACTCGTCCGTCTCGAGTCAAGCCCACACAATTTTCACTCACTTCCCATTCTGATTGAGCACTACTGCAAAAGAGGGTATGTTTTTGGGTAAATAATCTAAAATTGATAGATCTTTGGTGATTTATTATCGTATTCTGAGACTTTGAGCGATTTTCACTGAGCTCAGCTTTGTTCAAAGTGATCAAAGTGAATTCAAAGTATTGTTCATGTTCATAGTGATGTTCAAAGTGGATTCAAAGTGAATTCAAAGTATTGTTCATGTTCATAGTGATGATCAAAGTGAATTCAAAGTATTGTTCATGTTCAAAGTATTGTTCATGTTCAAAGTATTGTTCATGTTCATAGTGATGTTCAAAGTGATGTTCAAAGTGATCAAAGTGATTTCAAAGTGAAAAGCTCAAAGTGATGATGCCTACTCTTTTGAGTTTATTCTAATCATATGTTTTATGAAAAATCTTTCCCTCTGAGTTCTTGATTTTGTGGAAAATTTTCAGTGAAGAGCTTCAATGCCGTTTACGACTTCCAGTAGCGGTCAAAGAGTGCGCCACAACGTCGGCTCTTCACAGTTTAGCTTTAATGGGAGCAGGTGAATTATATTATTATTTTAAAGATGAAAATCTTTTCACTAAAACAAGCTAATAAGTTTCCAAGTTTCTCTAAAAGTTTCAAAGAAACTAAATCCGAATTACGCTTGCTATCAAGCTCCAATCGTCCAATCAACTTGATAAAATGAATAGCTCCAATCGATTCTCGACTCCGAAAACCCAAGGGTACAAATTTACAGCTGAATATCTTTTTGTGCCATCTACAAAGCAAAAAAATCGCTATCTAAATGAATGAAGTGAAGTGAATGAAGCGTTCTTTGTGCGGTTGCGTAACAGCTCGTGACCTGGCAAGTCCGTCCAGTACAGAAGGACAAATTGAATTTAATGGATGTAGAATTTCTCTACATCTATTAAATTTCTCGAGAAACTAAGCTTAAAAACCGATCCGTCAAACCGAATTTCATCTTTTAATACCTGTTTACCCAAAAAGAACCCACTGCTTATAAGCGTCGTAGCACACTGTGACGCGAGGCGTTTACAGTATCGACCCACCGGCAGGTTCACCTACCGGTACCTTGTTACGACTTTTACCCGGTTCAAACCGTCGCGATCAAGCCAGTTCACCACTTTGTTGCATAGCCGAAGGGTCACTGGCAAACCGTTGAAAAGATTCCGTGATCGGGATAGGGAATTGCAATTATTTCCCTTGAACGAGGAATTCCTAGTAAGTGTGAGTCATCATCTCGCTCTTAATACGTCCCTGCGATTTGTACACACCGCCCGTCGCTACCCGGGACTGAACCGTTTCGAGAAATCCAGGGAATCGTTCGCGGGACTTGTTCCTTGCGAGTGGTGAACTGGCTTGATCGCGACGGTTTGAACCGGGTAAAAGTCGTAACAAGGTACCGGTAGGTGAACCTGCCGGTGGATCAATACTGTAAACGCCTCGCGTCACAGTGTGCTACGAGCAGCTAGAACGCCCGACCGCTACTGTCGCGGCAACGGAAACCGTTGGTGTCTACGCCTTGCGGAGAATACTCGCCAACCGTCGAGTTGATACTCTCATAGGCCTGGCCTTGTTCGTCGTCGTCGACAGGGAAGACTTAATGACCGTCCGACTAGCGATGGTGCCAACGAAACGCAAATTGAATTTAATAAATGTAGAATTTGTCGAGAAACTAAGCCTAAAAAATGATCCGTAAACCGAATTTCATCTTTTAATACCTGTTTACCCAAAAACAACCCACAATTTGTTCTCTCTTCACCACTTTTCTGATTTTGTTTTCACCAAAGATCTCCGTTTTTTTCTGTGTGAAGGCAAAGTTGATTGGCGTGTGTCCAACTGTTGGTGTCATTTGTCACTTGGGGAAGATTGTCGATTGAAAAAGAAAAGAAAAGAAAAGAGACAAATCTGTCGTTTTTCGGCTTTTCTTTTCACAATCACTCTACCAAGTTTTCTCCAATTTTTTTTTGGTTATGTTAAAGCTTTTCCCATCATTACGCGTCTAGATTGATGGGCGAAACTTGAGAACTTTTCCAAAGATGTATCATTTATTAAAAGTTATTTTAAAAGCCTTAAAAGTTATTTAAAAACTTTAAAAGCTATTTAAAAGGCTTTAAAAGTTATTTAAAAGCTTTAAAAGCTATTTAAAAACTTTAAAAGCTATTTAAAAGGCTTTAAAAGATATTTAAAAGCTTTAAAAGTTAGTTAAAAGCTTTAAAGGCTATTTAAAAGCTTTAAAAGTTATTTAAACGATTTAAAAGTTATTTAAACGATTTAAAAGTTATTTAAACGATTTAAAAGTTATTTAAAAAGCTTTGAAGTTATTTAAAAGCTCATGGGTGAAGATTTTTAAACTCAAAAAGATTTATTGAGCTTAGTTTTCTAGATTTTCCTTAATCAAATCATTAGTCATAAAATTCATTTTTCAATTCTTTACTTGAGAAAATTTGAAACTTGATTTTTCAACGCTCATCTTTTTCACCCAAAGTCTCCTAATCTAACTTCCAACCTAACTTCTAAACTAACTTCCAATCTAACCTCTTCAGTAATCTCAAATATTGTAAACATATCCTTTCTGGTATACTTAACTTCATTTTTAAACAATTTTAAACAGTTTGAAGTGTAAAAGATTGGGATTTTTTTTTGAAATGAACGATTTGAAAGCGATTTCATTACCCAATCGATGAATATAGCTGTTTTTCAGTGTAGAGATTGAAAAATCGTAAACACATCTTTTCTGGTGTACTTAACTCTTTAGTTTTAATAGATTTTACGCTATCTTAAGCGTTTTAACTTGGTGTTCTTGGGGTTGAACGGGTTGGGAAACTCCGGAAATCGTCACACACGTTTCCTTTTTGCATTCTTTTCACTTCTCGTTCTTGTCTTTTCTTTTCTTTTCTTTTCTTTTCTTTTCTTTTCTTTTCATTTTTCCGTTTCGGTTCCTTTTTTGAAGTCTTTTCTCCGTTTTCTTTTTTCCACGAGCGGTGTCCGATTTGTGGGTCCTCAAGAAGCGCTTCCAACGTTTTTGGAAACACCCACGAAACTGATTTCTCACCTTTTCTCCTTCAAATCTTGTAATGCTTTATTTTCATTTGTACTATTGATAATTCTTCTTTTTCTGGTTTCTGTTGATAATTCTTCTTTTTCTGGTGATAATTCCTTTTCAAAATTAGCTTTTGTTACTGTTTCAAGAATCCAAAACTCATTTGAATATTGGCTTTGGCTTAGGTTTAGGCTTAGGCTTAGGCTAGCGGCTAGCGCCTAGCACTAAGTCTATTTGGGTTTGGGCTGAACCCCCATTTTCTGGATCTCAGCCAGTTCTCGGAGCTAAGGGACACCCGTTTGGCGGTGTGCATGCGCCCCCCATAGGAGCATCCTGGCAAATTCTCAGGTCGATCTCGTGTCTGGAATTTGAGATCTGACAAGTCGATTTTAGGTTTAGGCTTAGGCTTGGACTTAGTGCGTAGGCTAGCGGCTAGCGCCTAGCACTAAGTCTATTTGGGTTTGGGCTGAGCCCCCATTTTCTGGATCTCAGCGAGTTCTTAGGCTTAGGCTTAGACCCGAGGTGAGTAGAAGTAGAAGTAGAAGCCTAAGTCTAAGCCTAAGCCTGAGCCTAAGTCTAAGCCTGAACCTGAGCCTAAGCCTAAGCCTTTTCAGCATTAGCTTTTGTTACTGTTTCAAGAATCCAAAACGCATTTGAATATTGGCTTTCTAAAAACTAAAAGCCATTGAAATTGAGACTTTTGTCACTATAGTTGAACCGTTGAAAACGACTTTTTTTGCATCTGGCTACGATAACAACTTTGTTGTTGTCGACGACAACTTTGTATCTATAAAACGACGACAACTTTGTATCTATAAAACCTAGTTTTTAAGCCTGAAGCCATTTGTGCAGAATTGCTCTTGCAAAGCTCAAAATTCTAAGAATTTTGGCTAGCTTTAGTTGATTCATCAATAATATTGATGAAAGCTTTAAATATAGAACAAGTTAGAACGAAGTCAAAACGACTCTTGTCCAAATTAGCCACAATTATTCCCTCAATCACGCCTAAAAGCTCATTGACCCCAAAATGGTGTTTTGATGATTGGTGAGAAAAGGGCTTGAATATCATTTAGCTTATTACATTACACGTATTTTTTTTTGAAAACAAAATCAGTCCACTAACTTTTGCTTTTCAGTAACATTTTTAATTATGTTGAAACTTGAAATTTTTCATTTAACCAAAACGAGTTTCTTGAAGTTCAAATGATACTAAATTGATTTCTAGGGGTCCAAATAATACTAAATTGATTTCTAGAAGTTCAAATGATACTAAATTGATTTCTATAGGTGCAAATGATACTAAATTGATTTCTAGAAGTCCAAATGTTACTAAATTGATTTCTAGAAGTTCTAATGGTACTAAATTGATTTCTAGAAGTTCAAATGATACTAAATTGATTTCTAGGAGTCCAAATGATACTAAATCGATTTCTATAGCTTCAAATGATACTAAATTGATTTCTAGAAGTTCAAATGGTACTAAATTGATTGATACAATTTCCCCATTCAACTTTTTCCCCAAATTGAAACTCGATTCGTTCAAAAACCGATTTACATTCATTTTACCCCCTAAAACGCTTTCAGACGTTAAAAACTCGCTTTTAAATCAATAATTTTGCCCTTGAGAACGGTAAATTTTCAAAATTCGACTTTAACTGAAGGTTTATCGCTCTAGTTTCCTCATTTGAGAACTTGTCTAAATTTAAGCTTTAACTTTCCATCGTATTTAACAATGGAACGAAATTTCACAAAAGAAAATGACTCAAAAGTACTGCTTATGAATCAATAATTTTCACCTGGAGAACGGTAATTATTTTGACCTGAACCCATCCCCTAAAATCCCTTTCTATATTCTCTCTCTATATTATTCTCGTAAGAGAGGCTGACCCGAATATGCAAATCGCTTAGTGAGCAAAAGAGGGAAAAAGGAAAGAGATTTGGAAAAGGAAAAGGGAGGTGATCAGAGAAATCCCCTCACATCGCTTTTTGAAACGAAATTTTACGACAGGTTTCATCTCGAGAAAAGATTTTCCATAGCAGCTTCTATTTTCTTTTATTTTTCTTTTATTTCTTTTATTTTTCTTGACTTAAACCTTTCTTTTCTTGAAGAATTGTATATTTAACATTGAGAGAAAAGTTGACGTTTCAAAAGAAAGTAAATAAAACCAGGGCGTTTCATTTAATGACTTGGACAATGTCGGAGAGTTGGTGAAAACAGCTCCAACGGCAAAAATACCCCCTCCGTTTTTCAGTTTCTATTTGTTTCTTATTCTTATTTAATGCAGAATAAAATTATCTACATTTTCTATATTTTGGGATCACTTAAAACAGAATTCGTCTCGAGAAAAGGTCAGTTAACCTCTTTTAAGCCCGTTTTTCGTTTTTTTTGGCCAGATCTCTTTTGTCAGAATTTGTCAGAAGGCCAGAATCCCAAATTTGTTCTAAACGTCTCGAAAGAATTCAGCAGATATCACCTAATTTTCTTTCTACAGCCA